TTTTTTTGTCTTTTTGAGACAGGTTCTCACTATGCACTTCAGGCTGGCCTTGAGCTCATTTTGTAGCCCAGGCTGGCCTCGAACTTGCAGCGATCCTCCTGCCTCAGCTTCATGAGTGCTGGGATCACAGGCGTGCATCAATCACCATGCCTGGCTTCTAGGCTTCTAGTCCTAGGTTTTTTTGTTTCTGTTTTTGTCCCTCGCCCCCCCCTATTGAGAATCAAACTCATGACCTCGTGCTTGCCAGGCAGGCGCTATGCCGCTGAGCTAAATCCCCAGCCCCAAGTCCTATTTTTTTTGATGACTCTCCACACTGATTTCCAAAGTAGTCTACACTCCCACCAACGGTGGAGAAGGGTTCCTTTTGCCCTCCAGCCCCTCCAGCATTTGTTATTGGTTGATTTCTTGATGATGGCCATTCTTTCCAGGTGAGATGGAATCTCAGTGTTTTAACTTGCATCTCAAATGACCAGTGATGTTGAACATTTTTTTCATGTACTTATTTGCCATTTCTACTTCTTCATCTGAGAAGTGGCTATTATTTCAGATGCCCATTCTTTATTGTGTCTTTAAATTGGGGGGGAGCTGACTTTTCTTGAGTTCTTATATATTCTAGATGTTAGTCCTTTGTCTGAGGAACAGCTGGTAAAGGTTTTTCCCCACAATGTGGGTTGTCTCTTCACTCTGTTGTGGTTTCCTTTGCCGGGCAAAAGCTTTTTAATAAAATAATATCCCAGTTGTTGATTCTTTGTGGTGTCTCCTTTTTCAGAGTACTGTAGTTTTTAAATGTAGCAAATAAATAATAAAATGAAAAAAAGAAAAACCATCCCCCTCCAAAAAAAAAAAGAAAGAAAGAAAGAAAAACAAGAAAAGAGAAAGGAAAAATATATCTACTTCCAGGAAAGTGTCTGCTGTCACTGGTAAACAACGTGTGGAGACAGAGTCCAGATCCATGTTGATTTATCCCAGCAAGCCAGCAGTAGCTTTATGGTGGGTAGTGGATAATCTGAGTGAGATTGTACTTTTATTTCCCCTGAAGTTCAGGTGGGATTCTGGCCGTGAGGCTGAGACCAGACCCGCTCAGCCTGCAGCCGTTAGCGTATGTACCGTCTGTAGACTTAAACTCAGCCGGGAGCTGCTCAATGGAGCCGGTGTTTGTTCTGAGTTCTGAGCTCCGCCAGCCCCTCTCCAAAATGGCTCCTGGGCAATCGCTCTCTCCTGCGGGAAGACCAAGCCCTCAGCACTCACTGACAGCTAGTGCAGTCCTTCATGTCCTGTTCTCTTCCACTGCAACGTCTCTCCTGGAGGCCTTTGGTGTCGCCAGCAGTCACCATGCGTCTGTGAGTGTGAACCGTTCCTCCGGGAAGTGAGTCCCAGCTCAGGGAGAACACGCTGCCTGCCACCTCCTTCTTCTTTGTAGAAATTTCTCTCTTCCCCTTCCCCTTGGGTTCAGTCCTTGATTCAAATCCTTCCTGGGCCCAGGGGACCCACGGCCCTGCTTTTCTTCCTTGTGTTGCTATATTCTGGTGTCTGGACAGCCAATCTCTGGGAGGCTCTTTCTCCACTGCTCACCATGCTGCCATTTTCCCGAAAGTCTATCATTCATTTTTAAAAGTGAAAATGGTATTCCATAAGAAAGAGGCTCATTCAGCTAACACAAACTATTTTCCTTGAGATAAACAGTATTTTGGAATGTAGCATACGCACTTCCTGTCTACCTTCCACTTTATCAGGTGAGGTGGTACACAGATGCGGACTCAGGAATGATTCTTTCATGTGGCAAATTTTTACTGTTTACTGTGATTGTGACATTGCAGAGACTGATTCTTGCCAAGGCACCAGTAGAATTACCTCAACACAGACGTCAGCACAAGGAGAAGGTGAACGTTGTCTTGGTATTGGCCTCATGATAGATTCCGTCAGAGGATCCTACTGACTGCAGGGATTCCGCAGAGTACACTCTAAGAATGACTCTTGGAGTAGACCGGGAGCCCTGGGCCCTGGGCCCTGCTTCTCTTCACGTTCCAGAATCCCGTTCTCTGAGCTCACTGCCTCCAAAACCTAGCATGGAGGTCTGCCTCTGGCCTCTTCTAGCAGACAGCCCCTGAAAATCTGATTTCTGTTTTGCAGTCAGAGGGCTGGGGTGCGGAGGATAATTATTTCCCATTTGGAGTGGGAAAGATCTTGTGTCCAAAGGCACCAGACGGAGATCACTCAGGACCCATCGGGTTCGTTACACAGACCCTTAGCATTTATCTGAATCCCAGCTATGGGGAAGCTGTGAAATCTACAGAAGAAATCCTGGCTCCTTCGCCGCTAACGGCGTTAGTGAGCCAACCTGAGGCCCACAGAGCTCCGGGTGGTTCACTAGGTGAGAGGTGCACTGCCCAGCAGACTCCGTGGCGGAGAGAGCCTGCCGCGTCTGTGCTGATCGGGAGCCGTGGGCATGCGGCTGCTGCGGCTTGGAATGTGGGTTCCTGTTTACTCATCTTTCCAGTGCTGGGGATGACTCGAGGACCTTCCGCATTCCAGGCACATGCTCCTGCTGAGCTGCATTCCCAGCCCCTAGAATTTTCAGTTTTATTTAATGCATTTAAAAAGTTATGTGGCTGGTAGCTGTCATATTTGACAGTGCATGCTTTTAGTTTTCTGTCTCTCATAGAATAAATATATTTGTACTGCAGGAATCTTATAGTGAAGTATATTTAGAGTTTCTTTCTATGGGAGCCATGGATTTGTCTCTGTGGGTCTTAGACAGAGAGACCTTAACCAAAAGGTCTCTCTTAGACAATAAGATCTTAACCAAAACCTAAAGAGCACTAGCAAATGCTCATAACTGGGCTGGTAGAGCACCCAGGCTGGAGCCCGTGCACGGCACAGTAAATAACCGGGTAAGTTCGTTCCAGTCGCGGTGCTCACACTTGTCTGTGTTGTCTGCTTTAGTCTGAAGAAGGAAGAGAGCGATCTTTATGCCAGTGTGAACTAGTCACTCAATACGACACATAACAAGTTCTGTGCAGAGAAACAGTTTTTAAAATTATAAAACAAGAGATTTAAACCGTAGAACTCTATCTGCTGCTTCTCCTGTCTCCATGTTCCAAGCAGTTCGTCTCTCCCCACCTTTGGACCCCATCCCCTCCCTGTCACACCTAGATGGAAATGTTCATGCAATGTTTACAACTGTGGAGGGAAGTTTTCTCTAAGCAGGACCCAAAGGTGAAAAATGATTAAGAAAACTGATTACAACTTTTAAGGCTTCAGTTGGGCACCCCCAAAACTCACAAGTCTGCATTTTCTCCCAGCCACCCTCAACGACATAAAGGAGCTGATAACACAATAGTAACGCGGGCAGGCTCTCATTCAGGAAAAGAGGCTGGGCCTCACACCTGTTGCGGAGTGCAAGAACACACACTGCGGAGAGCTCTGAGGTGTCCCTGGAGGAAGGCGGCAGAGAGACTGTTGTAAGGTCTGGTCTTGGGGGGGTGACTACGGTAAGGCCTGAGAAAGTGGGCTTTGCTCTAGACTGGGCATCCGGCAGGAAGCAAGGTGATTCTGCAGTGTGTTTCTCTTAAGTCCTCTCTCTACGCAGGGCACAGTAGATCAGGACAAAGCTACGATTGGTGAAGAAACATCACACTTTCCATGTTGGCCAGAGGAGTGCTAGGGCTGAGCTGCAGGCCCTCTCCCTTTGCTTCCCTTTCCTGTGGGCTCAGAGTGGCCATGCCTCATGCTGGTGTCTACGAGATGATTTCTGGGCAGCAGGAGAATCACACGGCTTAACAGTGAGCCTCCGTCAGCTTCCCGCACGCCAGGGCTTAGGTGTCAGTGTCAGGCAGTTCCCATGTCTCATAGGCTGCTTTTTCACTGCCTTGAAGTTAGTATTTAAAAATCCCTCCATCCCACTTGGAAAGTGATTAATCAATATTAGATGAAATTTGGAATAGAATGTCAAATAGATAGGTAATAAATAAATATGAAAAACTAAAATGTGAACATTTAAATAAAATTTAAAGGCATGAACATAAATGATGATAGTATTGTGAGGGGTATATTCAGGGTTACAAATGTTGATGGGGTTAAAATGGGTATAAAGGGGCTGGGGATTTAGCTCAGCAGC